TCTCGGATGATTAGTGACTTGGAGCATGTTTTCATATGTCTCTTGGCCTTCCTTATGTCCTCTTTCGAAAAGTATCTATTTAGGTCCATTGCCCATTTTTTTGATTGGGTTGTTTATCTTTCTTTTGTTAAGTTGTATGAGTTTGAATTTCCTATAGATATTAAGGTTGCAATATGTTTATTCATTAACACTTGAATATTTTAAATCAAAGAGTAAATATACTAGTAGCTGAGGTTATTACAAGTTTTTATATGGCCCATCAGTTCTCTGTAAACAAAACATCATCAGGCCTTTAAAACTGTAATATAGCCCATGAAGCCTATAAGATGTGTGTTGCCATGTCCTCTAGCTGAGCGATTATCAATATATTCAACTCTAGATTTTTGTTCTTATGGAAGTTCTCCCTGCAGCTTTTGAGCATGTCACATGAACCACCTTGAGTAATTGAAGGTATTTTTCACCAATCTTTAAAATTTAGCTTATAATGATAATGTGGGCATATCTTTCAGAAAAATGTATTCTTTAGAGTCTTTATTCACATTACACACACAAAAAAATCTGTATTCGACCAAGTCCAATTTTTTATTTAATAAAGGATTTCTTAAATTGTGGTGGTTAAACTAGATGAGCTTTAGGGACATTGGTAGTTACCAAACCTTACACCTACTGAAAATGAAAGAGAACAGGCTCTCTTACACATACAATATAGGTAAATGGATACTTTCTTTTTATGTGTTCTATCCTGTGTCCAGTTCTTTAATTATACTTGATATATTCTTTTTAAAAAAATATATTTTTATTGATTTCAGAGAGTAAGGGAGAGGGGAGATAGAAACATCAATGATGAGAGAGAATCATTGATTGGCTGCCTCCTGCACACCCCCTACTGGAGATCGAGCCTGCAACCCAGGCATGTGCCCTTGACCGGAATTGAACCTAGTACCCTTCAGTCCGCAGGCCAACGCTCTATCCACTGAGCCAAACCAGCCAGAGCAACTTGATATATTCTTACACCAATATTTTCTATTGCCTCTCCATTTTCTTTAACCCTTTTAGGTACTAGAATAGCTTTGGCCATTTGGAGCCTTTAAAAAAAAATCAGAATCACTGTTACAGCATTCTTTATTATTAGAATAATAGAGAGTTTAAGAAATGAATGTTCGTTATGTATGTGGTAGTGTAATAATATTCTTGACCATTGAAACGTGAAAGTCCTGTGGGATGAAGAGAGGAGTATCTGTTTGGAACAACTACAGAATATGAGAGTGCTGGGTTGTGTAGTAAGGCAGAGCGGCAGAGCATAAACTACTAATACCATGCAATAACAGTATGTGATGAGGAGTGGATAAATCAATATTAAAATTGAGGAAAATATTAGCACAACTTTGCTATTTTATTTTAAAACTGGAGAACTAAGCTAAAAAATACAGTTTTTAAAAGCTGATTTTTCTACTTGTGTGGAAGAACACATGCTCAAGCATCTGGTATATCTTTAAAAATGAGGATATAGGGTTTTTTAATAACCCATTCTCTTTTTCTTTGGAAGCATACTTCATTGTCAAGAGGGAAAGGTTCTACTTGACCACTTCCTTAACTTGAAATAGCACAGGGTTTTGAATATGTCAAAGCAAAACTATGACATGCCATAAAAGTTCCCTTTCAGTTGGAATTCCTCTTGTACTAGTCCTATATAATAAGAGAGGAATATGCTAATTAGCCATTACCCCTGAGGAGTAACGACCAAGTGTATCAGGACCAGATCATGGATCAGCAGGAGGGTGGGCCAGCAAGGTACAAGCTGGCTGTGGAGAGCTATAGGAGGGGGCAGGGCAGCAAGCTATGAGGGGGTGGAGACAGGGGAGGGGGACAGGGGGACCTACAGGAGGGTGGGGCAGTGGGCGGAGAGCTACAGGAGGGCAGTAGTGAACTACTGGCGCACAGATTGTGCAGGGCAACTAGTTGTAATATCATTGACTTTCTTCGTTATTTTTCAGTGTTTATAATCTTTTTCTCAGGCCATCCTTTTAAGATTGGGGATATGTTGTGTTTTTTAGTTTTTTTAGGATTTTATTGTCACTCCTCTAAGTCTTTGTGACAAATGTGTCTTGGTTTACAAAAAAAACAATAAAATATTAGAATATAAAATACTATTGGTTTTTCCCACCAATGCATTCTAAATTTTGCCTGTTGTTGTGGGATTCTGTAATCTTAGTAGTAAGGCAGAGCGGCAGAGCATAAACTACTAATTTTCTGAAAGCCCAGTTAGTTGATTCTTGACCATATAGTTTTCATATTTAAAATAAATTGGAGTAAACTTTCCTCATAGAGATTCCTACTTATGTTAAATAGCTTGGCCATTTTCAGTTAGTCAATGTAGTAATAAATGTTAGTTACATTGTTTTGATTTTCTAGTTATGCTAGTCAGCATTGACATATTCATGGTTACTTTAAAATGGTTTCAGGATTGCAATTTAGTTTTTGTTTTTTAAATATATTTTATTGATTTTTTTACAGAGAGGAAGGGAGAAGGAGAGGAATAGAGAGTTAGAAACATCGATGAGAGAGAAACATTGATTCAGCTGCTTCCTGTACACTCCCTACTGGGGATGTGTCCGAAACCAAGGTACATGCCCTTGACCGGAATTAAACCTGGGACCCTTGAGTCCGCAGGCTGACGATCTATCCACTGAGCCAAACCGGTCAGGGTGCAATTTAGTTTTTTAAACCAATGGCAGTTTGTGTAATCACAAATTTTTCTTATATTTGTAGTTTATAAGGATGCATAATGTTTGTTTTATAATCAGACTTGTTTCTGCCTTTTGTTTTTTTCTGAAGTCATATTTTGATTCCCTCATTCTATTTAATAAAATTGTCTGTACTTTTGAACATATAAATCTAAATAACATGGGATGTCATGAGCTCTTTGCCTGCTCAGGGCTATTTTGTGTTTGGTGTTTTAAAAATCATGTGGGAAGCAGCTGATGAGTAACAAAAGTAAACTAAGCTAATTAAGCTAATCCTTTTTAAATAGTTTCGCCAGGTTTGTTTTTTTTTTCTTTTCTAAAGTAGGACTTTGTTTTGTGATGAAAGACTTGTCTGGGAAGGAAAATAAGAGACCTTATAAGTGGGCATCTCACTATTTTACTTGGATATATAGGCATTAAAGCTAAAGCTATTAATAATACATATCACATTTTTGTATAATACTTGTCAGAGTTGATTGTATAGTGGACACTGATGCTTATGAATAGCTTGCCTATATCTTTCTCCTTCAGACCCTAAATATTGCACATGCCACTGACAGTGTATATAGAATTATTTCACCCTAGCCGGTTTGGCTCAGTGGATAGAGTGTTGGCCTGCGGACTGAAGGGTCCTGGGTTCGATTCCAGTCAAGGGTATATGCCCGGGTTGCAGGCTCGATCCCCAGTAGGGGGTGTGCAGGAGGCAGCCAATCAATGATTCCCTCTCATCATTGATGTTTCTATCTCTCTCTCCCTCTACCTTCCTCTCTGAAATTAATAAAAAAATATTAAAAATATTTAGAATTATCTCATAAATTTTACTGTGCTCTAAAGCAAGAGAGGATCACACTCCTTGAAATGGAGTTAGAAGGTGGCCACAAAAAAAGGTTGTGTGGGAAATACCATTTAGGTGGTGTCAATAGTCACCATTAATTAAGTTCATAGGTTGACTAAAGATGAGACATAGTCTGATTCTGTTAAAAAAAAAATCACCCTGAGAAGATAACCCTGAACTATATAATATTTTATTTGTGAGAATTTAAGGTAAAAAGAATATAAAGAATTTATAATGTACTGTATCTTAGAACCTATATGATATAGCATACCTTCTGAGGTTTTTTTCACTTATATAAAGTTTTTATCATGACAGTTTATATTTTTAAATCTATTTTAAATACATCTGAAAACTTTGAATATATTAGCATATAATCTTCCTTTGTGTGGTCAGAAATTCAAGTTGACAGCAGGCCAAATTAAAATCTGATGCTGGTCTCAGTTTAGTTAATTAACATTTGAGTACCTCTTCTGGGGAGGATTCTGAGAGGCTTTATATTTAGTTTTTTTCAATTTCCATATCAAAATTCAGTCTTTGTCCTCACAGACCTCACCTTAAACAATTTTACTAAGTTTTTATGGTAGAGAAAAAGTGGTATTCAACAAACATTTGAAAGCTAGCTGTATTCCATAATTAAAAGGTCTCTCTCCCTGATTAACTTTGAAGTTAGTGGGAAAGGTAGGACAGTTTTTAGTTATGAACAAAGTATAGTGGAAGCATAGAAAACGAAAATATTTGCATAGATTACTAAAATCATATTTGCTGAAGGGCTGTGCTCTTCTCTGTTCCAGTTTTATTTATTACTAGAGGCCCGGTGCACGGAGTCGTGCACCAGTGGTGTCCCTCACCCTGGCCAGTGCCCTCTCGCAATCCAGGACCCCTTGGGGGATGTCGGATAGTTGGTTTCGGCCCACTCCCCGCAGGCCCAATCTAGACAGGAGGGAGCCTGATCCTGTGCATTGAGTGTCTGTCCCATGGTGGTCATTGCACGTCATAGCAACCGGTTGACTGGTCGTTCAGTCACTTAGGCTTTTATATATATAGATATATAGATAGTCTTGCTTTTCCGTTACTTTTATTATTTTAAAAGATGATTTTAGGCATCATCTTGTCTGACATGGTTATTTTCTTTTCTAGAAGGTGGAACGGAGCCTGAAGAGATTTATTTAGTAATTTAAGATCAAGAAGCTCAATGCTTCTTAAAGTATGGTTACTAGGTCTACAGCCTCAGTATCACCAGGGGCCACTCCCAACCTATTGAATCACACTCTGTAGATGGGTCCCAGGAGTCAATCCAGATTATTCTGAAGCATGCTTAAGTTTGAGAACTGCTGTGACAGTTCAGTAATTCTCTGTGCCTCTCTCGCCAATCAAGGTCACTGTTTAGTGAACTCCTCTTACTGATGGGTGTGTTCTACCTGAGGAATCCAACTAAAAATAAGGGGTTAAATTATAGTTCATCACTAATAAAGTTGGAATAAGAGCCTCTGTTTTAGTAAGTAATCTTTTCATCATTAGTGTTACTTTTAAGTTCCGTGACAGCAATTTGTTTAATCTGCAATACTGATTCCAGCCCTCTAGCTTTATAAAGCTCACAACCCTAATTTAAATGTCAAGGTAGAGTAAATAAATCAACATATTCTCAGGAAAGCTTCTTATGTTTTTCTTCAGCTTTCTAAAAGACTGGTTCTGAATCTTCTGGATTATAGACCCCTTTGGAAAACCAATGAAATACATAAACCTTTCTTCAGGAAAAAAGGGTGTGTACATGCATATACAGATATGCCATGATCCTTCCTGAAGCTCATGGACCCAGGTTTAAGAGTCAAAAATCGCCTGCCCTGCCTCTCCCACATATTCATATGCTTGCACAAGCTCATGTACACACACACACACACACACACACACAAATGGGTGGAGGTTAGAGATGATATATTTTGGTAAAAATCTCCCGGGTGATTTGGGGGGCCTGGGCAGAGCCTGCTGTGGTAGTTCCCTATATATGTTTGTTCAAGTACATTGATTTTATAGTGAGCAAAATACGGTATACATTAATGAACATTAAAGAATCTACTAGGCAAGTTGAGGGGATTTAACATTCAGCAAACAAGACTTCTAATGACACAAAAGACTTTGTTCTGAGACTTGATGAGGTAGGAAATGTGTTTTTGTTTTGATACTGGTATTTCATGCTTTTGATTTTTAGTGTATAATATGTTTATGCATTCATTACTGTGAAATTCTGACTAAGTCAAATAATGTACAATGTTTGATAGGTGTTTAAAGTATGGTGCAATTGAATTAAATCCTTTCCCCCAACATTTTTTTTCAAGTGCTAGTCTTCCTAGATATATGAGAAAAGTTTAGAAGTTAAATAATAGCTAAAAATGCTCTCTGTGTGTATCACATTTCAAACATCTTTATAAGCTGAGAATGATAGCAATAGAAATTATTTTACTGTGTTGAATTAATACTGCCAGTGAAATAAGATTGCTTTTGATATGTGATTTTGCAGATAAATATATTAAATATATTGTTCTTTTATACAAGAAATATTGTAGTTTATAAGATCCTTAGTTATTGATATTTTCTTGGGATGCAGACTCATTAGTAATAGTATATCAATCAGATGTCCTATTTTATGTAAGAAGATTAAGATAGTATAGTTATCAATACTTTGGAAAAAATTGCATAGATTATATCGAGTCTTTTTTTTTCTTCTCTTCTAGGATCGAAGTAGAATGTATGACAGTTTGAATATGCACTCTTTGGAAAATTCGCTTATTGATATTATGAGAGCAGAGCATGATCCTCTTAAGGGTAGGTGACTTTTGAAAAAATCCTATACATCTACCAATTTGTCTGATTATTTTACCATTTTTATATGAAAGAAGTTTAGAGCTCGAGCAGCACTAAGTAGCACCTGCGCCACCTATAACATTCTGTGATAACTATTAATAAGAAACTTGTCTTGGTGAAATGTCATACTTTTTTCTTTGAAGCTTATTTCAATTTATGCTGATTTATATAGAGAGAAATATAAACCCACCTCTCTGGGCTTGTATTTTTAAGACAAAGCTACCATTTAGAGATACTCTGAAGTCCACCAGAAGATAAAGAATGGATCTAAAAGTGTATAGTATAGCCCTGGCTGGTGTGGCTCAGTTCGTTGAGTGTTGTCCCATATACCTAAAGGTCACAGTGGGTTCAATTCCTGCTTATGGCACATGCTCAGGCTGTAGGTTCAGCAACCAATTGATTTTTCTCTCACATTGATGTTTCCCTCCTTCCCTCCCTCTCTCCCACTTTTCCTCCCTCCCTCCTTCCCTCTCTCCCTCACTCTCCACTCCCTCCCCCTTCCTCTAAAATCAATAAAAACATCTAAACTAATAAAAGGGTAATGTGCTACTTACAGAGGACATCTTCTGGACATCCTTCCGGACAAAACCACAGCGGCTGGGAGGGCCCAGGCTCAGGCCGGCAGTGGCAGCAGCAGTGGGGTAATGGGGGAGGCGCCTTCCCCTGATCCGCCAGGTCGCCTCCCACAGATTGAGGCCAGACTGTGGCTTAGGCCGGGGGCCGAGGCAGAGGCGGTTAGGGGGTGATCAGGCCGCAGGGGAGCAAGTTAGGGGTGATCAGGCTGGCAGGGGGCAAGTAGGGGCTATTAGGCTGGCAGGGGGGCAAGTTAGGGTCGATCAGGCCAGCAGGGGGGCAGGGTAGGAGCGATCAGGCTGTTAGGGGAGCAAGTTAGAGTCGATCAGGCTGGCAGAGGGCAAGTTAGGGTGATCAGGTTGGCAGGGGGGCAAGTTAGGGTCAATCAGGCCAGCAGGGGGGCAAGGAAGGAGCGATCAGGCTGGCAGGGGGGCAAGTTACGGGCGATCAGGAATCAGTCCGACAGGCAGAGGCAGTTAGGGGCAATCAGGCAGGCAGGCAGGCAGAGGGGTTAGGGGTGATCAAGCAGGGAGGTAGAGGGGTTAGGGGTGATCAGGCAGGCAGGCAGGTGAGCAGTTAGGAGCCAGTGGTCCTGGATTGTGAGAGGGATGTCCATCTGCCGGTTCAGGCCTGATCCCACAGGGATTAAACCGGCAGTCGGACATCCCCCAAGGGGTCCCTGATTGGAGAGGGTGCAGGCCGGGCTGAGGGACCCCTGCCTCTGTGCATGAATTTCATGCACCAGGCCTCTAGTATTTAAATAAAATAAAAGTGTATAGTATAGTCACTTTTCTAGAATTCTATAAAAAACAGACATATTTTTTTTAATTTTTTTTTAAAATTAAATCTTTATTGTTCAGATTATTACATTGGTTCCTCTTTTTCCCCACCATAATGCCCCTCCACCCAGTTCCCACCCCTCCCTCCGCCCTCACTCCTCACCCACTGTCCTCTTCCATATTGTCCAATCTCTTCCTGCATCCCCCACACCCCTTCCCCCCCGCAAGAAGAGTCAGTCCATTCCCTTTCTATGTCCCTGATTCTCTTATAATCACCAGTTCATACTGTTCATCAGATTATTTATTCACTTGATTCTTAGATTCACTTGTTGATAGATGTGTATTTGTTGTTCATAATTTGTATCTTTACCTTTTTCTTCTTCCTCTTCTTAAAGGATACCTTTCAGCATTTCATATAATACTGGTTTGGTGGTGATGAACTCCTTTAGCTTTTCCTTATCTGTGAAGCTCTTTATCTGACCTTCAATTCTGAATGATAGCTTTGCTGGATAAAGTAATCTTGGTTGTAGGTTCTTGCTATTCATCACTTTGAATATTTCTTGCCACTCCCTTCTGGCCTGCAAAGTTTCTGTTGAGAAATCAGCTGACAGTCGTATGGGTACTCCCTTATAGGTAACTGACTTTTTTTCTCTTGCTGCTTTTAAGATTCTCTCTTTGTCTTTTGCTCTTGGCATTTTAATTATGATGTGTCTTGGTGTGGTCCTCTTTGGATTCCTTTTGTTTGGGGTTCTCTGCACTTCCTGGACCTGTAAGTCTATTTCTTTCACCAGGTAGGGGAAGTTTTCTGTCATTATTTCTTCAAATAGGTTTTCAATATCTTGCTCTCTCTCTTCTTCTGGCACCCCTATAATTCGGATGTTGGTACGCTTGAAGCTGTCCCAGAGGCTCCTTACACTATCTTCGTATTTTCGGATTCTTTTTTCATTTTGCTTTTCCGGTTGGGTGTTTTTTGCTTCTTCGCATTTCAAATCTTTGACTTGATTCTTGCGCTCCTCTGGTCTGCTATTGGGTGTAATATTCTTTATTTCAGACCGTGTATGCTTAATTTCTAGTTGTTTCTTTATCATAGCATCGAGGGTCTCATTAGTTTTCGTGAAGCTCTCCAAAAGTTTATTGCAAGCCCTCAAAATTGCGTTTTTTAGCTCTATATCCTCCATTTCTGTCATGTTTTTTTGTCTCCGCATTTTTTATGCTTTCTTGGTGCACCCCCTAGTGGTCTTTGTGCGCAGTCTTGTTCTAGTTGAGCCTTGATTGTTGTAGTTAATACTAGAGGGATTTGACCACCAGGCCGACTGGCTGTGTGAATCAGCTGTGTCTGCCGCGGAAAACTTCTGTCCTCTGGGGAGGTGCTAATCTAGCCTTTGCCTGAGGCGATCTGGCAAATGGCTCTGCGCAGGGCTTGGGCGGGGCGGGCTCAACAGGGCGGGCGGAGGGAGCGGTTATAGCCCCTCTCAGTCCCGTTCCCAGAGGCTCTGCTTCTCAGAACCCCAGGAACCGCTGCAAACATCGGAGAGAAAGCTGCCTTCCAACTGATGCCAGACACTCCCACTTCTCCCGTTTGAGTCCCCAGCGATTCTGGGGCTTTGGTGCTCACTGAGTCTGCCCCCTGAGTGTGTCCTTTATGTTTCCAGGGAGCTGCAGGTCCCACTGTCCCACTCTGACCTCTGGGCTTCCTGGCTCCTGGATCTCTAGGGAGGTGCTAATCTAGCCTTTGCCTGCAGCAAAAGCCGTGTCCCGGTAATCGCTGCAAGCCCCTCGGAGAGAAAGTTGTCCTCGGGTTCCGACCGATGCCAGACAGTCCCACTTCTCCCTTATGAGTCTGGGTCCCTAGAGACTCGCCCAGAACTGGAGCTCAGAGCCTGAGACTCCTTCCCGATCGAAAACGACAACTGCGCCCTCAAGCCGCCAGCCCGCTCCGCATGCACTCCGCACCTTAGTATTTTACTTCCGCACTGCGCCTCCTCTGAGTCTTGGTATGCTTTTCTCTTTCCTTCTAGTTGTAGAATTTCCCTTCAGCCAGCCTTCCTGAGGTTCTGAATGATGTCCGCTCCGTCTTTTAGTTGTATTTTTGAAGTGGTTGTTTGAGGCAGCAAACTCCGGTGTTTACCTATGCCGCCATCTTGGTTTCTCCTTTTTTTTTTAATTTCTTAAGAGTACTTTCATTCACAATTTGCAGTGATTCCAACCTAGAATTTTCCTAGGTTTACTTCCTTATTTTTCTTCTACTTCATATGATAGGGTTTTGAAAGGGGATATTTATAGTAGCTTCTCTGAGGTATAGAACAGATTTTCAAAAAGTTGGTGCAAATGAGGGAAAATAATCAGCCTTATTGTTAACTAGCTGTATCTGAAGAATTTCATTAACACTTTTGTTTTCATTTGTCTTTAATAAATTAATTTACATTTCCTTATAAATATATCTCATTGCTTTTTATATTATTGGTGAAAACTAGAAAATTGTGAGATTGATGAGAAATATTAGTTATCTATTGCTGCACAATAAAGTATCTATCCCAAAACTTAGCAGCTAAAACAATAATAAGCATTTATTACTTTATGTGGTTTCTGTGACTCAAGAATTCAGGAGCAGCTTAACTGGTTGGTTTGCCTCAGGATCTCTCATTGAATCAAAACCATGAGTTACTTTGCAAGCTTTTCATGTTTTTAATTCTATAAAGCCAAGTAAGAATTCCCTTACAAATTTTAACCTTAAAAATCTAGACTTCAGT